TTTTGTGATAAATTCTTTTCTGAAGATTGTGTGTGTATTAATTTTTTCAGCTGATGTAAAAGTCTATGCTTGGTTGTACGAGTGGCTCAATATACATGCAGTAATTTGGAGTGCTTTTGTGTCTATGTTGTAGAAGTCTGCGGGGAGATTAGAGGTGTTTTGTCCCTTGAGCCATCTGAACTGTTCTCCTCAGCAGTTTTGGGAAATACTGGTTTTCTTGTCCGAGTGCCTTAGGACTAACAGAATGTTAGATGTGGAAAGCCATCTTACCCATGGGTAGATTTCATGTTCCAGCAGCAAAGGCAGCAGCAGACTGCAAACTGGGGTGAGGAGTGGTAGCACAGGGCAGCCTGCTTAGGTAGCTGGAAAAAAACACAAAGATACTGAAGTATTGCAATATACTTTGTAACTTGCTTGCTAATTCTAGTTTTAAGGTTGTGAGTTAAATGTTGAAAATCTGGTGGGTACTTCGAAGCATATGTGACTCATTTTTCACAAGTCAAAAGGGCTGTAAATATTCTTTGCTTCTTTTAAAACCTGAGATTATATTTCCTAAAACAACAAATCAGTGTGTTCCTCTGACCATGGAGGAAGTGTGTGACTCTTCTACCTCAGTCTTTGGTTCCTGTCCTCCTGTACATGTGTTGCACTTCTGTTCCAATTCGGTGGGATGTCACTCATTTAAAATCGTGTTCCATGTTTGTGTTCTAATAGTGAATGCCTTTCTAAAAATCTGTGGTGATCTAAGTAATAATGTATGCAGTTAGGATGGCTGCTGTGTATTAGGCCTTGTTGTGTCGGGCCTAGAAAATTTTTCTCTGTCCTGGTGTCTGGAAAGCTATTTAACACTGTTTAATTGGTAACGGGTGGCTATTGGTACCTCTCTTCCAGTTGGTATTACACATGCTATGTATGATTTTTACCTCTATATTCATTCCTCAGAGTTGCATATCAGATCATCATTTGGTTTGTTTTCTTACAACACATAGTACTTGCTTGTGGGTGGGCTTAAGTCCTTTTTTGTCCAGAATATTTTGGAATAAATGGCTCTTGATTTTGTGCCTTGTGAATTGTTACCCTAACTGTAGTGTAGTGGCAGTTATCTGCAACAAGCATAAGGACCAGCAGATAGTTGACATGCTTTTTCCCTAGACATCTGATAACCGTTTTCTCCTTCTGGTGGAAACCCTAAACAAGAAAGTGGAAGCTCTCAAATGAAACTTTTCTTGCATTAAACCAAAATAACTTTGGAAGCTAATTGATTCCACTAAGCGATTCTCTTAACTTTCACCAAGAATGCATGATAGTGCTAGGTTATGCCATTTTGGGACATAAATGTTGTGCTCTCCCAACTGGACTTCCTCAACAACTTCTGTAGATGATTAGATGACACAAGAGTGGTCTGGGCAGCACCTGAAAACAGTTGGTGAAACCTAGTCAGGCTAGTTGTTCTCTTCAATAGACAAACCTGATTAAGCAGTTTTTACTGTAAGTGCTATTTGTTTCCTGTCCCGGTGACATGCACACCTCCCTTTGATATGTTGGTCATTATGTGCTGTGGAGAAAGAATAAATAACACCAATTAAATCTGCAAGTGTCAGAATCCAGGTAACGTGCAGATATGCACGGTCATCAAATGCTGAGTAGGCAAATGCTTCATGGACTCCTGCAAGCTGATTCCTACATCAAAAAAACATGTGGGTAGTGAATAAATGTCACTTTTAATTACGTGCTGTCTTGTGTATGAGGAGTAGGATTGACCGTATGAAGCTTTCCAGTTTATCTGGTAATACTACCCTATTTTATTACATCTATTTAAAAGCAGCAAACCCGGTGGTGGCTTAGTTTAATAGTAGACGCAAAGTCAATTTTAGGTTAAAGAATGCATTAGTTATGAGCAATAGTAAAGTATTATGAAGGATTTTAAATTTAGTATTCTAGAAACTGCTCGTGGAGACAGTCTGACTTCAGTAAGTTAATTGTGTAGCAATGGCAAGATTTCATGGTGTGAATTGCTAAAATGTGTATAATATCACTTTAATTCATACTGTATTTATAGAATCTTTTAAAACCTGCATCCTTGTGGTTTGGGGTAGAATTTCAGTAGCTGGAAAGAGGTTGGATACAAGAAATGGGTTTTGAATGCCAATTAGTGAACTTACATTGTATTTAATAATGAATAGTACTTTGCTGTACAAATACTTTAGCTTTGTGGTCAGTATAGTGGGATAAAGGTAAAATTAAAGGAAATGGGAGCTGATATGATTAATCAGCCAAAAATGAAAGCGGTCCTCCTTCTATTTTCCTTGATGGCAGTGGAAAATAAAAGGTAGTGAAAACAAGCTGCTTTAGGCTTCTGTCTGAGACCAGCCAGAAAACTGTTTTGTGGTAGAAAGCTCTGCTTCCAACTTTACACATTCCCCAGGTTTATTCTGATATGTACAGCTGTACCTGTCCTTGATGGGCAGCCTGGTGCTGGGGGAAAAAAAGAAATCTCTTCTGGCTGGGTTAGTTTTTGAGGGGAGTGGCATAATCCTGGGTCAAGATCATAGTTAGCTGGGCCTTGGAGGCGAGTTGTCATGTACTGTTTTGGACAGGAACTTGAAATAATGGTTAGTCTGAGTTTCATTAATGCTAGGTAGCTTTCAAAATATCTTGAGGGACTCGTTATTGTGGTGACTTAACTAAATGTTTGTGCTGATTCAGGTGTCTTCAATTTGTCCAGAAATGGAATTTCACGTAGTTATGTGAAGGGTGACCATCGGTATACTGGGCAGGTATTGAGGCTCATTGCATTTTTTAATTGCCTGGAGGTGCTACCTTAATCCTTTCTGATGTTGTCTTGTATTAGAAGTTATGAAGTGGCATAGCCCTGCATGTACTTAGTAGTTTTGTATTGATACTTCAGTTTGTATAGTTACGATACTTCTGGAGGACTGGCTAGGTAGACTTTAGGATTAGCTCTTTGTATATTGAAAGCTATTTGCTGAGCAAATGTGAATGAGATTCTCAACTGAAATTATTTCTGGAAGATACTCTGCATTTGTCAAGAGTGAGTCTGATGTAAAAATCTTTAGTGTAATAGCATTTCTAGATCAATTGTAAATAATTAGATACCACAACTGCAGAGTACTGTGAATGAAAGCAAGCTTTATCACAAAACCTAGTGCTTAGTTTACTTCCAAAATATCAACAAGATTTTTCTTGTGTGCTCATGAGACTAGCACTAGAAATTTTATTCTAGATAGAATTTGAAGCACTTACTAAGCTTTTGGAAGATCTGTTTAGCTTTTTATAGCATTACGCTGAAGGAGACTTGACAGATTGTTCAACACTGTGCTTCGGTGGGTTGGTCGGTGATGTTCCCCATTAGGGAATTCTCAGAAAGCATTTAGTTTTATTAAGAGGCAGGAAATTGTCCTACCTGCCCCTTGTACTGTGTAAATCAAAGCACTATCCTAGTTGTCACTGCCCTGCTAGCCTTCACGTTTCAGTCTTTTTCACTGTGAACATGGGAGCGTATGAAAGCATTCTTAAATGTGATGTAAATCAGCTTTTGCACTGAGATTTTTTCTATGTGAGCTGTTAAACTAAAGCATACTTAACTATTTTCAAGGCTAAAGGTGTAACTTCTCTGAAGTAAAACATAATATCATGCTTAGTAATGCTAAATATATTGATAATGAAAAGAAAATCCCTAAGACTGATCAGAAGAGTTGGCCAGTTGGGACTCTGAAGGTTAAGCAGTGTGTGTTTGTGTTATCACTTCAAATCCATTCCACTTTTCAGCAGCTTTGGTGATGATAAACTGAGTAACATGGAAGTCTAGAGTAAACTGTTCCATTAATTAGGTGTTTTACCATTACTTAATCCACCCCTACATTGCTTTGGTCTCTTAAGACCACAAAGTTTAAATTAGTTTTTAAGTACTGCTTTTGTATTGTTGCATTTAGGAATGTCTAGAGTCTTTGAGTCTGCCGTAGTTAGTATTTGTCTTACTGAAGTGCTTTTTCTTTCATGGGGTCAGCTGTACAAGCATTTTTGTGTTAGTTGTCGGGAATAAGCTCTAGTCCTCATTCCTTGTCTCCATAATATTCTAGCACGAATTGCAGATCAGGGAGAGATGGTGGTAACTGGTGGGGACACTCGGCCTCACAATAAAGCTTTGTGTTCCCTGGTTTGAAGGAATGGCATTAGAATTTCAAACCTGACACAGTAGCTTCTTGAACTGAATGACAAGCTTGAGGGGGTTTGCATTTGAAGGGGATATATTATTTCACTTCTTAGTGTTAAAAGTATATTTGACATGTCTAGCACTGTCTCTAGAGATTTGAAAAAATACTTGAAATCAGTCTAATCTGTGGTAAATGTGTAATTACATTTATTTCAGTTTGAAATTTGAGAACTGATATGTGTTTAAATTCTGCTGTTTGGTGCCTGAAGCTTTGTTAGTAGTGACGTTGCAAATACAAAGATAACTACTTACTGGTTTGGTTTCTAGCTGCTTGTAATAGCTGATTTCAGATCTGAGAATTGTAGGCATGTGTCCTACTTGTAATAACAGGTTTTTCTAAATAAACAGGGCCTGTACAACTGTTTCCAATGATGCTTTGTCAGAAACTGATTAAAAAAAATCCTTCTGAAATTATTATTCTGGAAATTAATTTTTAGATGTGCATGTTCTAGGTAACATAGCATCTTGTGTATTTCTGAAATAACTCTCAGAACTCTTTCAAAATAAGACAAGCATGTTAAGTAAACCATTTTGGAAACAGTTGACACAGGAAGCAAATCACTGAACAGCAGAATGTGGATTCGTGCAGTTAGTATTTATTGTAGGACCTGTTCAGAGGTTGAAGAATAGAGGGATGTGGATTGTGCTTCCATGATGTGATTTGGGCCCCTAATCCAAGATGAATTAGAGGAACTCTTGGCTTCAGTCGTCTTAAAGTTACTTCAAAGAACAAAATGACTTCAATAAAAATTGAGAAGGAACGTATTAATAACTCCTTTCTTCAAACAGGAAACCACTCCCAACCCTCAGCCTTCAGAAGAGGAGAAAACCGAGCCAGCACCTAGTCAGGAGGTTGCCAGCCCTGAACAGTATATTAAGCATCCACTACAAAACAGGTAAATAGTACAGAAGCACGATTGTAATTTTGCCAAAGATAGAAGAATGCCTATGGCTTTACAGTTCTCGTGTTTGCCTTCTGTTTTCTAGCAGCATATTGAGAGTTCACAGTTTTTTTGGGGATACTTGCAGCAAGGTTGCACAGGAAATAGAATCTGATCCTATTGTAATTTAGAGCCTTTTTGTGTAGTGTTATCTTTACAGATTTTCATAATGCAGCCAGGTAATTGGAAAGAGCATGGCTTTGCTTTTAGTTGGAGGCAAGCAGAGCTTTTGTTGCTTTTCCTTGGTGTGTTTTAAGAGACTGACACGAAGTTGCTGCCAAGCAGAACTGGAAAGCCTTCCATTCTGCCTTGTACTTTGGGCAATTAAGGTCCCAGTGGTAAAGAAGTCTCATTTCTTATTAGAAGCTTACTCCTTCGTATCTTACCATTTTTTTTTCTCCTATTTGGAACTGAAAGTAGTAGAAGCTGTGTTAATTGGCCAAAGAGCTTATTAGACTTGATCATATGAGTGGTTGGTGTCTACAGTAATATCGTTTTCATTGTCTGTAGGAGGCACAGCAGAAGAAACCCTGTAAAGTGCAAGCGTGCGCATTTGTACCAATGTGTTGCTAAGAAAAAACTGTAGGGCACTTAAATTTTCTTGTTTAACAAGAAAAACATGGAACAGTAGTTACAAGTATAGTTAAGTTACTGAAAAATCAAATCCCTCTTGCTAAATTTGGTGTTTGGTGTGCAAAACCAGGCATGTCTTAAAAGCTTTAAAAGCTGCTACTCAGCTTTTTACTGAGCTATAGAGAAAATGCGGACTTTACTAAGCAGCTTTGTACTTGAAAACCTCAACTTGAACTATCTTTCTGCAGTGAAGATGTTATAGGCTTACAGGTTGAATTCCTTTCAATGTGCACGAAAGTTACTCCAGGAGCAATACATATACTTCAAAAAGAGCAGCTAGGCAGTCATTTTCTCCAGGTAAGCTGAAGAGCTGATGTGGAGTGCTCAGTACTTAATGTTGGTAGGTAGGTGCTGCCCCAAAGTGAACCTTCTACCAAGCGGCACCTTTCTTTCTAAATCTTGAGCGAGTGTGGAAGACCATGCTGCCCTGTAGTGCTATGCAGTGTGCATCCCATTTTCCCTTGTTGTCTCTCAACTTCCATCCTTCCTCTTTTTCCTCTAAAAACCTTGATTAAGTTGATGTTGACACTCCTTTACAAGTGGTAGGGGTGCTACTACTGGAAAATACTAAACTTTTAAAACAAGGTTTAAAATGTCAGGAAAGGTCTCAAAACAATAGATTGACACCTGGTGACTTAAAGTACTCTGCTGTGAGAAGCTAGTGCTAACCTGAGTGATTTCAATGCTCCTGAAACTATCAGAATGAAAAATAAGCCTGTTTTGTTAAATGCCTCATCAGGTTTCCTGTTCCAGCATTTTAAATTATGCTTTTTAGATCCAGAAAGAGCATCTTTGTGTGAAAGGTTCAATGTGTAATACGTGTTTGTAGGTTTGTACTCAGCTGAGATAATGAAGAAGAAAATGGGATGGAAAATTTTTCATTTAGTCTTGTCTTTATGTATGCAGATTTAAAAACTTGAAACAGTTAAAGTTGGTGGGTTTTTTGAGATTGTTACCATTAATAAGCTTAATGCAGCTTCCTTTTTAAAATTTGTGCTCTCCTAGTATGTGAGTGCTTGGGAAAGTTGCATGTTATGTATAGCTTTGGTATGATATAATTAGCTTTTGTAACATTTACAGGGAAATTACTGGAAAGGGAGCTGTGCTCCTAGGTTGAATAGTTGGTGGTATTTTAGACTAATCGGTTATTTTCGGTAAGGGATTGCAGTTTAGCAGTGGCAGCAAGGAGAAACATCTGAGAATTAGAGGCTTAGAGTCTTAGAAATGTTCCAGAACTATTTAAAATATTTACCTAAACGGATTGATCAAATCTGCCATGATTCTTGTAATAGGAACACAAATATTGTTGATCTGCAAAGAGCTGGACTTAAGAACTGAGTTTCTCATACAGCTTATTGATGAAAAGTGACTTCCCTGCTGATAATCTTAAGGTTTGCAATTAGTTTGGATGTAATAATACAAACAATGAATTATATTTTTAATATACTTTAATTTCTAGATGCTATTATTTTCTTTTCCTTTAGATGGGCACTCTGGTTTTTTAAAAATGACAAGAGCAAAACTTGGCAAGCAAATCTTCGTCTTATCTCAAAGTTTGATACTGTTGAAGATTTTTGGGCGTAAGTAAAGATTTTTCAATCTGCGTAATAATCCTGACATATGTTGGCAAAGCTTATGCCGAAGTAAAAAAAAAAAAACATAAGTACCCCATTAACTGCAAATTTTTGGGTGTAATCTGAAATGTTTGCAAAATGGCAGGTGAGGTCTACCCTATTCTTCAGAATGTGGTAGAATGTAACCTTTGAAGAAAACGTGATTGGAGAATTTTTTCATACTTTAAACGCACATTGTCTTGCTGTTAACGCTGCAACACTGCTCATATTCATATGTGTATGACATACATGTAGAAAATGTATTTGTGCAATAGCTATCTCATAGGAACATGAATTTGTAAATTCTTGTAGCCAACTGATTGTCACTGGCCCCAAATTTTGCTAGTTGATTAAATTCTCAGACAGCTGGCTCACTTCAGATGTTCAAGAGTGCCTGAATCTGGAGCATAGTACTTGGGAAATTGATGCAGATTAATGGCATTCTTCAAAGAGGTTCATTAGAGGTTACAGAAGAAACTACCTTAATTCTAAATTGAAGGTCTGCAAAAGCAGTTGGGCTCAAACAGCAAGAACACAGCCCTTGAAGGTAGGCCTGTGCTTTCCAAACACTTGCTTCAGTCAAATTCAGGTAGCTGGCCTGTAAGATTTTGCCTGCTGTAATGATGAAATACGGAGAAGATGGAAGTGGCATGAAATTGAGGGTGAAAAAAATGCATTATATATTTGATCTTTCTTAGTGTTTCATGCTACATTGAATGGTAGGGTTCTTTTGGATGTGATCAGTAAGGAAGAGATGGTGTCTCTTAGTGGAATAATGAGACCCATCAGTGACCCATTAGCACCAACAGGAAAGAAATTAAGATACTGAAAATGTTGAACAAGGATTTATCAGTGCGGTTGTCAGAGGGGAATAGGATTCTGTGCTTGTAACCAGCTTTCCCATTCCTACTATGGGGGTGACTGGTGGTTGACTGAACAGTAGTTTGCAGTCTTGGGGTATGTGATGGGAGGCTAAATTGTTTGAAGTTCACTGTTAAAGTTGGTTAAGGGTAAGTTTTTTGAGCTCCTATAACCAAGATAGTCTGGGTAATTAAAAGAAGCGCTTAATCTAGACGTCTGCAGTCAAGGTATAAAATCAGTCACAAGCAATTGAGAAGTTATTCCTCCATTGTAGTCGGAGTGGGAGAAATAGGTGTGGTGTTCTGGGGAGAAAATATTAAGGTTAAGGTAAACTTAAAGGAGGGAAGCTGGTAAATCTGTAACTGTAAATTCCTGTGCCTGATTTCTAATCGTTAGAACATCACAGTAATTAATTTCCTTTTTGGTGCTGGACCATGCCTGAATGTTAGTTGGTCTTGGGACTGCAGGTTATTGTGGTATGTGCAGGCCTTTTTATGAAGTCAGGCCTTAACAGTGCAGGAAAAAAAAAGCATCTGTCTTCTTGCTAGAGGAGGAGACAGTATGTACTCCTCTGATTTTTTTTTTTCTCTGAATTGCATAGTTGTAATTTGGAGTACATGTTTTATATTTTGTTGTTTCAGTCATCTGTTCTTGCCTTTTGAGTCCTTACTTCAGTTTGAATTCAGGCCTACAGCCTTCATCCCTAGAGCATTGTATTATATAGCAAAGTTGAATATTTTTCCTAAAATCTCTCTCTGCAGAGAGAGTAGCCTTTTAGAAATAAACACTTATTCTTACTCCATGTATGTATATGTACAGAATACACACACATGTAGAACTTGTTGCCATGAAAGTTCAGTGAGTTACATGTTTCTAATAACTTTGTTAGAACTAGGTTTAAAAGAAACATTGGTATTTCTGGAAAATACTGTTGTATAGGAATCCAGTAAGTGTTCATAAACCAGTTTCCATTCTACTTCTTTAACCCCAGAACATCTTAAAGCTAATGCTTCTATACTGCTGAAAAATACTTAGGAAATAGGGTTGCTTCTGAAATAACTTTAATGCTTTTTAATTTTTGTATTTTATTCGGTCATATATCTTAAATTCTTTAAGAATTTTGTACCTTAAAATAATGCGTAGTTTTTAATTCTGCTTTTTTCCCCCTCCAATAGTTTATACAACCATATCCAGCTCTCTAGTAATTTAATGCCCGGTTGTGACTACTCGCTCTTTAAGGTATGTTTGCTAATGTTTTTTCTTCAGTTATGGATATTGATGGATGGTTTCCTGACTGAGCAAGACACTGTCTGAATATTTCACTTCAGATATTTAGGAACATGGTTGGGAATGTCCTAAAGGTGTTAATTTTGAGGGGAAGTCCCAAACACATGCCCTCTGAAAATCAGGCTGTCACTAGTTCTGAAAATGCAAGTACTTGCTTTAACACATTGACAGAGAGTACATTTTAATCTTTTGCCACGTTTATCTTCATTTTATGTTTGAGATGCTTGTGCAAATAATTTTAAGTCTCAATAATTTTTATAATATGAAAGATTTTCCAGCTCTGTCATTTGGTGTGACAGGATATGAGTTAAAACATCTGATTTCTGTGGGAGGATGCAATGTTCTCCAGTATTCTGTATGAGCACTACTAGCCAGATGCACAGTGCTCCTGTAATTAATTTTTACACCACCAGTTATGTGCTGTATTACTTATGTATGAAATAGAAAATTGTACACAACACTGACACTTAAAGTATGCTTGAGGAAGCGTTCAGTCTGGTGAATAGGAGATGCTGATGAGAAAACCGTACATGCAGTCCTGCCTTGGCTGGAGTGGAGATCTGAACTGCAGCTCTAAATCCCTAACCTCTCTGAAGTGCTTCTAATGTACAGTCTTCCTTTCTGGATTCAAATACGTAAATAATCCCCTCATTACTTGTGCCTGGTTCCTCCTTTGGTTATAAAACATAGCTACTAGCTGGGACTCCTCAGTAGACTGTGTGCATAGTTTGTAAACCTCAGCAGCTTTAGGTAGTGAAGAGGCAGTGATGTACACAGTTCAGGTTTGGGAAGGTAACAGTATTTTAGGTGACTGAGAAACCTTACTAGTAAATTTTAAGAAGCTGTAGGCCCTTCAGAGGTTAGGATATCTATGGATCATGCATGTATTTTTTGCATGAATCCTAAATTTGTGTTGTAAGTATGTGTGTCTGTTCTGTGTTTGCATATCCTCAGTCAGCAATAATTTAATTAAATGCATGGAACAGGTACAGAATTGGCAACTGTTGCAGGCTTCTGAGCAATCTCCTGCTGTTGTCCTTCAATCGTGACCTCAAAGAGTGCCTCTTAAAGGTGGTGAAGCAGTTTGAGCTCTGCAGCTGCCAGTGAGGGTGTTAAATTTAAACTGAGCTGACACCACTCCATCCTGCATGTTGAACACTTAATTAGTTTTCAGCCAAAGTTCTGTAGCACAGCTCTCCTAATAGACATCTCTTAACCAAATTTCTGTGTCTAGACAGTTACCTGCTTTTTTTAATGACTGACTTTCCTGAAGTGCAGTGTAGTTGCTGGATATGGGAGTGGCAGCTGGCTGCTTTGCTGGATCAGCACATCCAGAGTCATTTAATTTGGTGCAGGGCCATTGGTAAAGCATGAATCAGAATGCAACTTACTTCTAAATGGTGTGTTGATTTTTGTGACCCTGGCAATTAAAACCCTCTTATTCTCACCGTGTGCATGCAGGAAGTCATTGAGATAGACTGCCAAGGGTGTCTGTTTCAGTGAAGTAATCTTTATGCATAAGCGAAGCACTTGGCCAATGTTGCAATGAGTCCAAGACTTAAAATAAGGACTCCAGAATGTAGCTGCTAATTTTATCTGGTTTCATATGGGGAAAAGTGGATGTTTGACTTTGCCTGTTCCCACAGGTTTTTTTTATGTAATGTTGTGTAGCCAAGACTTTTACTAGGGCTGTGATTCTTCTGTAGAAATAAAAATTCATTAGAGAAAGTGCACATTTTAAGCTGTTTTGGAACTTTGGTATTGGTATGAGACAGTATTTCTGGACAGGGATGTACCTTAAACTGTATACTTTTTCTTAAGTTGCTCTTTCAGTTACCATGGGCCTTTTGGTTATTCTTTAGGAAAAAGTATACCTTGAGTCTGGTTTAACTTCTGGCTGTTCTTTGCAGGATGGGATTGAACCCATGTGGGAAGATGAAAAAAACAAGCGAGGAGGACGATGGCTAATTACACTAAACAAACAGCAGAGACGAAGTGACCTTGATCGCTTCTGGCTAGAGACAGTAAGCACTATGGCCTTACAAGTTGCAACTGAAGAATCTTGCATTTGTATTATTTTAACTGGTGTGTTCTTTCTGTATGCCACACTAGACTTCTAACTTCCTGGCAGCACAGTGTCCTGTAAGTTTTTATTGACAGGCTGTATTTGAAACATGATTTTTCAATACTAATGCTCAATGTATCTGTATTCTGTTGAATACTTTCTTATAACAGGCAGCAATAGAGATAATTCTACAGGACAAATTAACCTTTTCCTATGGAATGTACAGAACAGCTGTCGAGCTACTGGGAAAATAATACTTTGAATGAGACTCCCAAATTTAACTGCTTAAGTGTAACAATTTGCTTTACCAATACTCTTACAAGAGAATGGTTTTCAGGTCTCGGTTGTGCTGAAACAAGGGAGTTTCAGATTTATTTTTGTTCTTTCTGTACTTAACGCTAGGATAGGCAAGTAATAGCACAATCTTCTGTGCACTATAAAAATACTTTTTTCCATTGCTGTTATCTTTTTGGAATAGATTTTTTGAATGGTAGATACACTTCTAGAGATTATGTGGGTTGCAGTAAATGTGTTGTAGAAGGGGATACAACTGCACTGTCTAGGAACTGACTCAAAATGGCCTAAAAGAAACTAGTGTGATCTGGGTTTTAGGGGCGTGGATTGCAGGCAGTACAATGCAAAGCAATCTTACCAAATCTCTGTTCTTTTTTCCCTGCTCGTGTGAGAGGCAAGTAGTATTGTGCCCCTTTGAAAGGGAGAAATGGCTTTTAGGATCAAAGCAGAGGTGTCCAAAATACCAGAGCTGTTAGGATCTTTCTCGCCACTGTAGTAGTGATTTGAAGAAAGGATGATGAGCATTATACTACTAGGCAATTTGACTGCACATGAGTAAGTAAACGTCTTGCTGTGTGCATTTGGCCTCTCCCCTTGAGTGCCTATATGGTTTCTTCTGACTCCTAATAACCATTACATATGGATGGGAAACATGTAGATAGTCTATGTAGACTTAAGGCTAGAGGGCTCTGCTTTTTGTTTAGCAGCAAGCAGTGGCACAGAGCCCAAATATTCAGGTGATATGTGCTCTAAAACAACACTGTTGTTTCTAATTCCAGTAATTATTTGTAACCAACTTTCTCCAATAAAAATCAAAACCTTTTCTGTTATCACTCCCCTTTGGAACAAATTTTTATTGTAATCTAATGATCTTTACCATTCTTAACCATAAACCAAACTTCATTTGAGAAGACTTTTTTCCCCTGTTGTGCAGCATTCATGACGAATGTACTTGACTGTAGTGTTTATTGAGCATGGTCATCTTTGCATGTATATGTACTAAGGCTATTGATAAATATTTTCAATGTTTGTGGCTTAAATATTTATGGCTTTCATTACTCAGTGAATGTGTGCATCCTGCAATTAGATGCACATGTAACATTTAAAGTATGTGTAGTTATACTTGATTTATTCGGTAGCACACTTTGTCCTTTTTGTATTTCCTTGATGAAGTCAGCCCTTGCAGCTCTCATGGGTACTGAAAGACCTGCTTTGTTCAAAAAGTTGCAAGTGTGTTGAATTTCCAAATGTTATAAGTGATTCTGGAAAATTAATATAATGGCAGTGTATTTAACATACTGCAGATGTGAAGTAAACAAGCGTCCATTTGGAGACCAGCGTTTCAGTGTGCAGAAGGATTTTTAATTCAGCATGGACTAGATTAGCCTGTCTTAACCACAAGAAATTCTTGGGTTTGTATATCTACAAATTGCTTGTTTTACAAGTTGCAAGTTGTAGAATTTTAAAAATCACTTTCACAGTTAGCATATTGTACAGGAATGTGACCTAACTCAGTCTGATGTTCCTGAAGTGTACCGTACATCTTTGCCAATTCCAAGCTCCACCTGTGGGGGAGAATCTTGTATTACTTGTACACTTGCATTGTTGCACTTGCATTACACGCTGTTCTGGATGACTGATTCCCGCTTTCGAGTCTGTGGGAACTCTAAAGCTTCCTGAGTGTGCTGATAGGAAGTAACACTTCATTAGATAGCACTTTCCATCTAAGTTGCAGTCTGATTTGCCCTCTGAATTGATATACTTCAGAACTGAAGTTGGACCTCACATAGCTGACATTGCCCAAATAGTTCTTCACAGGTTCTTCCTAGGTAATGAATATAAACACTTAAAATTTCATATTTGTCTACCTGTGTTAAACATAGGTTAGAAAGAAGGATAAACTCCTTTAATTCTTACCTGGTTTTGGATTGGGAGGATGGAGTGGGAGTCAAAACTATGTAAATCATCAACTGTGTCAGAACTTACAGCTGCTGGGACAGTAGGAGAGATGGAAAACTCAAAATAGGAGGAAGATAAACTCAGTTGTAGTAAGGTATGTTCGCTTGTAACATTTGGAACTTCAAGAAGATACTGCAATAAACAGAAAATTATTTCTGTATGGCAAGTGGCTATAAGCAGTAACATGTATTATTCCTCAAAGTCCTTTGTGTATGCTGAGTGTTTGCCTATGGAGCAGGATTCTGACTTTGAACTGCCGCTTTTAATGGTTAATCTTTGTTTTGTAGCTGCTGTGCCTTATTGGGGAGTCGTTTGATGACTACAGTGATGATGTATGTGGTGCTGTTGTTAATGTTAGAACTAAGGGTGATAAAATAGCAATATGGACAACTGAATGTGAAAACAGGGATGCTGTTACGCATATAGGGTAAGTAATGTGATCGGTGTCTTGAATGTATGAAGTGTAGCAATGCATTTAAAGCCAGCAAACTCAACAGAGAATGCACTTCAGGCAAATGTAGTCTGTGCAGAGCTGTATCCCAAGTTCAAGTAACTCAGTGCCAGATTATTTGTGTAATTGTGTAGTTTTTTGTATGGGCTTATGTTCCTAACTTCTTTGCACTGCTGCACTACCTTAGCTGTGGTTTAGAAATAATGAAGAATTGAACACAAATCTTGGCAGAAGTTTTTCATTCCACAATGAGGCATTGTCGTTAATACCTGTAGATAGTGTAGACTCTGTTGCAGCATACCAGTTTGTAAAGGTGGGTAGCCAGTAATGGTAGAGTATCAGTACGATTTTTCTCAGGGAAGTGATGCTTACAAATAAGAGAAGAAAGTCATTGTAAATCTTAAGCTCACAAGGATGTCTTTCTATTTGAAAAAGCTGGACAGTGATGTGCTGTGAAACTCTGCAGATGTTTTCCTATGTTTTTGTCTCTGTTTAAGTGCAAATCAAAATAATGAGGAGTTTCCTGGATTATTTGACAGGTGTAATAGCATGTTGTAGTCTTCATTCCAGTGAGCAATAATAGTCATCTCACATTATCATGTTTCTCTACTATGGAAAATGCATGTTGTGCTCTGCTATTTAGCAAGCATTGCTAAAGCTAGTGGATTCCCTCTGCTGTATATTGATGCTTCAAAATTACCTGCTGTTAATTCTATCATTGTAGGCCACTTAAGTATTTTTCTTTGGTTTGCATAGGCTATCTTCCCAGCTTAGCACATCTGTCTTAGGCCAAACTTTAACTGTCAGTCATAGTAGCTTGCTAACATTTTTGACTTACTGGGTGGCTCTCTTGACACATTCCTCATTTGGGTCTTTATGAATCTGGTGGGGTCTGCCTTACACTAACAATTTTATTATACAATCATGTTCAGACTGGAAAGGTAAGTGTTTAAAAATATGCACAGATGTGGTACACATATTCTGCTAGTAGAAACTAACTTTACATCAAACCTAGTAGGCATCGGAGTACATTTTTAGAATGGTATTAACCATTAACTAAGGAACTAAGGTGACTCCATTAGACAGCTAACTAAAAAAGTTACGATTTTGCAAACTGACACAATGACTAAGGTAAGTTGTTGACTACCTGCTGTCATGTTGCTATAACTCCAAAGACAACACATCAAGCTTTTATTTAACAGTTGAAATTGGGGTAAGCTATGGTCCTGTAAACTGCTCCATTATGATTAGGGTAAGTTAAAAAAACCTTTAGTTTTGTTTGTTAACAAACTGCAGTTGAACAGGCTTGTTCTGTAGTTTAGTCAGAGCTTGCAGCAGAGTGCCATTAGTGGCTTGTACCTCACTCGTACTTGATGCTAAGGAGCCCTGTGTGTGTGTAAGGGGGGTACTGCTGCTTCTTTCTCAAGTTGTAAAATCCAAGCTGGTTTTTCTTAAAGCTCCTGTTGGGTAGCTGCCCATGACCAGTACCATAATGAATTGGGGAGCGGGGTGGTGGTGCTGCTGCTGCTTCTATCAGTATTTAAAGAAAAGGTAGCAAGTCTGTGCAACTGAGATGTGTGTGGTGATAAAAACTGACTGCTCCAGGGAGCTGCTGTTTTATTTGGTTCAGGTGACTTTATCATCTCGGTAGTTCTGGAATTGTGGACCATGACTTCTTCATAGCTGTTTTGTTTCTCTATGTGGGAATATAGCTTGTTGATATTAATGATATTCACATGAATGCAGTAGAATCCCTGTGTTCTACATTTGTGTAGGCCTGTTAAATTATTTTTTGGCAAGAGCTCGTCCTATTTTATACGGTAAGTAATTTTTCATACAGAACTATAAGCTGATTTTAGATGCAGTAAGCTAGAGAAATCCTGTTTCAAGTCCTTTATTCATACTTTAGAAACTGTTCCTAAATAGGCAACTATCTTTTATGAAGATGTCAGCAGATCTTAAAAGCAGGTGTCCTGTTACTAATTCCTTCCTAAGGGCTTTGCTTAAACTGTTCTATTTCTTTTTTCCAGGAGAGTATACAAGGAAAGATTAGGACTTCCTCCAAAGATAGTGATTGGTTATCAGTCCCATGCAGACACAGCTACTAAGAGCGGCTCCACCACTAAAAATAGGTTTGTTGTTTAAGAAGACACCTTCTGAGTATTCTTTCATAGGAGACTGCGTCAAGCAATCGAGATTTGGGAGCTGAACCAAAGCCTCTTCAGAAGCAGAGTGGACTACATTTAAATTTGATTTCCATCTAAGTGTTGCTAAGATTTGTGAGAAGTCTCATTCGCCTTTGTCTTGTACTTCTGTGTTCAATTTTTTTCTATTTTGGCTGAAGTAACCATTACCAATCATAATTTTAGTACACTTCGCCCCCCTGAATCCATAAATGTTTTCCTGGCCCACTCTGTAATAGCTTGGTAGAAACATTACTATTACGAAAAACCCCATTTGTTTATCCACAGTATTCAGAAAAGAAGTTGCATTTCTGTACCCACAGGAAATTACTCTGTGTTACACTTGCATTGTATGCAGTAACATTTTGCTGGTTTGGAAAAGAGTATGGTGCATACAGTTTTCTAGCAATTTTTTTATACAGCATCATCTGTGCTGTAACCTATGCTGATGGCTGCTAGATTAATTTATTTGTTTTCCCTATTTGATAACATTAGTGATATTTTGATTTCAGTTGTTTTTGCTCATGTAACATTTGGTGAAGAATCTGGGAATATGACAAAGGTGGAATAAACATTAATTTTGTGCATTCTTTGGTAATTTTTTGGTTTTTTTGGTAACATCAAAGCTTTGCCACAAATTTATGCATTTCAGTCAAATCAGTGATCTGTTTGTGTGATTTCCTAAACATAATTGTGGATTTTTTTAATGTAACACCATAATTTACATTCCTTACTAGAAATAGTATGTCTGTTTTTGTATCTTATGCTGTATTTTAACACTTTGTATTACTTAGGTTATTTTGCTTTGGTTAAAATGGCTCAAGTAGAAAAGCGGTCCCATTCATATTAAGACAGTGTACAAAACTGTAAATAAAATGTGTACAGTGAATTGTCTTTTAGACAACTAGATTTGTCCTTTTATTTCTCCATCTATACAGCAAGTATTTGTACTTCTTGTGACAAGGCAGTCTCTACTGTGGCTTCTATTGTAGTGTCTTCCAAGAAAGATAAAGTCTGGAGCTATAGTCTGTTGAAACTTTTAATAAATCTATTAGATAGCACCCTAAATCAAAGTGAAATTATATTGATGTGGCTACTGTTTTTTCGTAGTGGTTGGACTAATTGATCATGGTTTGTGGTGTTTCTCTTTTGACTTTGATTTATGCCAACCAAGAAATTCAAGGGTACATAGAAAGCTGTCTAGTTTCAGGTAGGAACTACACTAAAAGCGCTGAAGTGAGTGATTCTACCTTAAGTATATAATTGCTATATGAAGTACAAGTAAAATGCGCTGGAGACATGGCTACAAAATAAAAGTATATGAGGATCTAGGTAGTCTGCTATTATGTATGTCTTAAAATGAAATGAAACTTTCTTTGGCTTGAAAGTTGCTGTGGGAGCTGTAAGTTTGCTTGACTTGCAGAATTAGGGGAAAGTTTTGAAGGCCATTGAGTTAACTCTGTGTTTGGAGCACAAGTGAGAGGCTTTTTCTTTCCACTCTTAATAGAGCATGCAGCAAAATCAATGCTTTATTGATAATTTCTTACTTTTTAGTGTGATGTACTTTAAGACCTTGCCAGGGCTATATAGCCTTTCTTCAGTTAAACTTAAAGGCAGATGCTTATTGGGGTTTTGATCTTTGTGATAACTCCGTAAAGCGAGTTCAGTCACTGTGTCAGTGAAGCTTCAGTTGAATCAGGCTTTTAAACCTGCCTGATTAAGGCACTGAGGTGTTTCTATGTGCTGAGATAGACTTGAACACTTTCTTGCACATTTGATAAGAAATCTGTGTTGTAAATAGCGTGTCAGACTATACCAAAAAGGTATTACATTAACTTCTGGATTATCCTTACGTCTGTTTAATGGAAACACAGTAGGCATCTATATCTAATGACACTATGCCATCAGTGTTGGTCATTAACCAGGATGGATGTTGGATGTGGAGAGAGCTATTGGGCTGTTTGGATGCTGGTTTCTGTAGACTCTGGTGTAACTGGTTGCCTGCCCTGATTCTGCAGGCGTGCAAAGCGAGTCGGGTTTGTTTAGTAAGGCCGTTCGTACTAGAATATAGCAGTCCCTGCCTGTTTTCCAGCTTACTGCTTTAGCTAATCATCTTTGCAATTAAAGTAAGCTTTTTGAACTAAATTTCTCTAAACTATTTCTGTTCTATATCATCAGCCTCAAGCTGAGTAGTGTTTATAAAGGCTTTGATATTTCTGAATAAACCAGTAATGCTCGTATGCACGGGAAGGTAAATATGAATCAGTTTTCTGAGTGGTAACATTAGATTGTCTGCATGTAATTTGGGAGCAATGGGGCAAGGCTCACTAAACTGAGTGTAATTTGGAAACATAGGTAGTGCTGCCCTTTTGTGAAGAGCATTGAGATTAAACTGAGTGCTGTTGTGCGATGTATATAGTATTGGTATCGGTTTTCTTTAATTTCACTACAAGATTGACTGGAATATTGTTCAGGGTTGCAGCATCTTGTTCATCCGGAAAGGTGATTGATAGGGTTTTTTAATGGTCTCGGGCTTTTTTATGGTCTCAGGTTTTTGAGCCTGAGCCTGTTTAAGCGGCCAACTGACTTGCACTGTAATATGAAAATTTCCAGTAGGTTGATTTTTTTTGAGGCTCTTCACATAACAATTGCTATGTTTCTAGAAGATTGAGTGAGAATTAAATGACGTACTTGCTTTATCAAATATATAACCTATGCCTTTAATTCATTGCTAGAATAAGCAAGTGGCCATGAACTTAGTTTTCTCCAACTTGCAAATCACTTTGTGCTGTATACTAACATTCTTCTGATGATAATGGTGTAGTTTGTATTCTTATACTACGGGAGGAAGCTGAGAGCTCTCCATTCTGTGTATTAAAACAGCCACAGGCTCATAAGAGGAAAAAGTAGTAAACGTTTAAATTTAAGTATCTAGTTTTGGTACAAAACACTCGGTGTCATTAAGCTTCCAGCTAAATGGGTAGCCATTGTCAATGTGGTTTCAGAAAGCCTGAGAAGACTAAAGAATAAATGTCTGAAGCATCTGTTCAGAAGTGGTTTTATATGGTACAAAACCAGCAGAGCAAGGAAAGAAAGCAGAAACTTGCTCTGTTTGAAGAGGTGTAAGACTGTGCCAAAATATAGCCTGGGAAGAAGGGGTAAAAGATTAGGAATATTTGTGAATTAACAGCTTCTGGGTATACTCTAAGTCTCAGGCTGTGCAATGCTTTTCATTGTCACTTGCTGTTTGTCCTGCTGCACTGTCACTGTCTTGTGTTTCAGGCTGTCTCTAGCTCAGGAAACTTAATTGTCAATGTTACCCAAATTCTGGGAACTTGGCATAGTAGCTTTTAGCAAAGCTTGGACTGAACTCAAAACTTCCATCCCTCCTAATGGAATCTTTTCCTGCAGAAATGCTTGGAAAAAATATTCTGGACTCCATGGGACCCTTACTAAAAGCAAAAAAGCATTGCATTTCAGCCTGGTAAAGTGACATGGATCCTTCCCTTTGATATATGTGACCTCCCTTGTTTCCAAGAAGCTTTACTTTTGAGTCTGGGCCTAATGGTTTTACAACTAATTTTAAGAACATCCTGCACTGAAGTACTAAACCAAACAGTTGAGCTTACTAGTTAAAACCCATAGAGCTTTCAGACTGGCTAGCACTTAACTTTTAGATGACTTTGCCCTCTTGAGAACAGTCAATGGTTTCTGCAATTTTTTTGTGTGAGTAGGTTTTAGTTAGGTCTTAAAACAATTTTTTTTTATGCGGAATTTGTGCCTTCTCGTATTGGGCAAGAAACAGACAAATGAAAATGACATCACCAGTAAGGGAATAGTTTATACCTGTTTCACTCCGAGACATTTCATACCTGTCTATCCAAACTAGACTTGGAGAGCAGGAGTGCAGAGCGTATTAGTGAGCAGGGTGGCACCAGTCCCAGTCCTGGCTATCGAGTGCACCTGCTGGACATCCCCATTATCATTTCAAAGCTCCAGAAGCTGTTAAATTGTCCAGACTTTCCATTTTGATATGTTTGCAGGACACTTGTCACTGTAGCTGCTTCAACAGACTTTTCTGCCTTTTAGCTCTTGAAGTTTTGTATTCTACCAGAACTTGTTTTCAGGCGTCCAGCTCTGGCACTGCAGCAAAGCCTTTAATAAGCACTTAAATTCCTTCCCCTGTGATAAAAACCACAGTCACTTCTGCTCTTGGCTGGTGGCTGCCTGGCACTTTTCCAAAAGACTATGGGATGCCCTACTAGCCTTCCTATTTTGAAATAAAGCAGGTTCTGATGTCCAGAGCTAAATGTGAATTGTGGCTGAGCACATGATGATTGTTATGCTTCCTGGCATTAACTTGGTTTTTTTTGTGTGATGCCTTAAATGTAAAAACATTCTAGCTGAAGTCTGTTGGTATCAGTTTGCCTGCTAACCAAACATAACTCAGATTTTTTTTTATTCCCTGCTAGTACTGAGCCTGTGACAAGCTTAGCTGTGAATTTGTGGGGTTTATGACTGCCTGTGCTTTTCCCATCTCCGTTTTTCTAAAGCCTGATACTTTTCAAGCCTTATTAAAACATGTTTGATGAAGGGAAAAATTACACTGAGTCTAGTCACTGCTTTTTTTTGGTCACTGATACTGTGGAGAATTCCAGGTGTTGCTAAACCCAGATAAAGACTGTGTGTGACTTCTTTGGCATAATAATCTGCTTATGGAATTTTCACTTTTTTATCTCTAGCCATGTAAGTATGATAATAGTGAAAATGATACTTGAAAGCATGTGTGTGAATATATCATATATAAAGCAAAAATGACTCATCTATTTTTTCTATTTTTTTCAAAGTAGAAAACTTCTGTTATTTCTAAAAGGTTTCTTTGGATGACTTTCTGTAATGAATTATTGGATTTTGCTTACAATAGGTAGTTTAGATCAATCTTTTTTTCCTTATGTTGTGCCTATTAATGTTATTGAGGAATTGGAGCCAACCTTATAGGTAAGGTTTGGCATTCTTTGAACTGAAGCTAGTTTTTGAGCCTTATCTTCCTCCATATGTACAGGGTAGTTATCCTAGTGCATCTCACCCTGAGCCATACAAATACGCAGAAAGTATAACGGGAAATTGGAAGGTACTACTTTATTTCTGTAGCTTGAATGAAAATAAAGCTTCTGAGGAACCGAATGTCTCAGCTTCTTGACTCTGTATGGGGTGTAGAGAAATGCAAATCAAAGATAAATGAGTAAGGTACTGCTTTGAAATGTGTGTTCACTCTTCAGTTTGGAGTTGGTGTGTAGCTTCTGTGGCTCATCCACAGATCAGCCTTGTTCTCAACAAAACTTATGTGATTGCAAAAATACTGCTGACTGCTCTTCCCTTGTTTATTATAGTTTCCCCAGTAGGAAGGAGTAGTCTAAATATGTTTGTATAGTGATACCAGGTCGCAGGAAATTGCAGGTGATCTAATAGGAGCTCCTGTGTTCCAGTTGTGCCACCCCATTGATGTTAGACAGCTGGAGACAGTACCTTGAACTTGCAGGAGGGGTTTTAGTCTGCTTATGCTCTCCATTAAGGGCTTTAAGGCCAG